TTTGGTATTTTTTTGCTATCATTATTATTATATTCTGATAGTGGATGATAATTATGAATTTGTTCATGTTGTTGTTAATGATAAACATGTTATTGATCCAGTTTTTCTCTTATAGGTAAAATTTACAAGTTATTCCTGTTTCTTTGAAAATAATGACTAAGTGAATTATATTACTTGTAAAAGCAATAATCTTTATTATGACCTTTCTTCTTGATCTGATATTTAACTGCTGGTTTTTTACAGAGACATATAACTTTATTAGTTGACAAGGTACTTGTCGCTGACTTTCTTTGAATAGATATTTTTTATTAGAAGATGATATTTATGTAATGTTCTTAAACTATAGTGAGAAACTAATAACTAGTCTTTCTAATATAGGTAAAATAATAAACTAAGTGCTAATTAAATTTCTCATGAGAATTTCTAAAGTAATTTCTATTTATATATAATGCAATATTTATCAAATCATCTAGTATATGTAATTAGTATTTCAAGCTGAGCAGGATATACCAGCGCATAGCTGACTAGCTAATTTAGTTAAGCTAATTTCTTTGATGTGATGCAAGTCAATCACTGAAAAATTTTTAAATTAGAAAAAAAATTATTATTATTATAGAATATTATTTATAGTTTAAATTAACATGTTATATAGTTATATATAGTTTAATTTATGTAAATATATTACAATATACATATAAAATCCTTTATACATTTATTTTTTTTTCATGTTTTATATTCTTTTCACATTTTATATTCTTTTCACATTTTTATATTCTTTTCACATTTTTATATTCTTTTCACATTTTTTTAATGAATCAAAAATCCAAAATCACTTTTATTAATTATGATAGAGAAACAGTATAATGGACATGATAATCAACTAATAAAACATAACAGTTAATTAATAAACCTATTCTTGTAGATTCTTATCCAAATTTATCTCACTCACCCACTCCTAATAATAAAGTATTAATATCATCACGCATTTTTATTTCTAATAATCAAGTATCAGATTTATCAAATACTTCAACTTCTAATAATCAAGTATCAAATTCATTAAATATCTTTTTAAAGAAAATTAATTCATCTACAAATAAAGAAAGTTGGGTATGATCATATTTTAAGAAAAATAAAATTATAAAAAAAGTTATTTGTCAACTAACTATCAAAAATCCACAAAATGGAGAAAATATTCCTTGTCCAATTTCTTATAATCTTACAACTTCAACAACAAATTTGGCAACACATCTAAGAACAAAGTATTAAATATATCCTTCTATTAATTTAGTAATTTTAAATAATTCAAAACAAAAAATAATTAAACAAATATTTGAATCTACAAATCCCTTATCACATTTTAAACAAGAAAAAATACTTTTTTGACTTATTGCTTGGATTATTAATGACATGCAACCATTTCACGTAATTACAAATAAAAAGTTTCAAGAGCTGATTCATGAATGTGAGTCTCGTTTTGAATTTTCCTATAATAATACAATAAAAAATAAGATTGAACAATCAGTTTCTTATACTAAAACATAATTAAATATATTAATAGATGAAATGATGATAAGATTTGCTTTTACTATCAATCTTTGGACAGCACATCATACTCTATATATTAGAATAATGATTCATTAGATCTCTACAAATTTTATATTATATCAAGCACTTTTGATAATTAAAAATCTTCCATATCCTCATACAAGTGATTATATTAAAGATACTCTCTGAAATTTATTTGAGCAATGAGAAATATCATAAAAAGTTTTTGTTGATATAACAGATAATGCTTCTAATATGAAAAAAGTAATACGATAACTTGAATACAATCATATAGGATGTACAGCTCATACTTTTCAGCTTGCAATTAATGTTGAACTTGAATTAATAAATAATGGATTAGTAAAAAAAGCAAAGAACTTAAATAATTTTCTTGTAAATTGTGATAAATACTGTGATAAATTCAGAAAAGTACAAGAAGATATTATAAATCAGACAAATCTTCAAATCTCACAATGCAAATCTCTTGATCTTATTAGTAGTGATAGTAAAACCTAATGAAACTCAACATTAGTTCTATTAGAGTGACTTTTATTATTTCACCAAGCAATTCATGAATACCAATTACAACTTTCACATAATTTTGATCATTAAGTATAAGTAGATGCTAATATTTTAAAAAACTTATTATTATCAGATGATGAGTGGAAATATTTAAATGAATTAGTAATTTTACTGAAATCATTTGCTATTGCAACTATACTCTTAGATGAAAGTCAATATTCAACACTCTCACAAATATTTCCCACTTTTCACAAACTTTTTCATCACTTAGATATAATGAATTCAATACTTATCTATCTGGATATTCATATAGTTTTAGAAAAAATTCATGAATCATTAACAAGAAGATGGGAGAATTCAAATATTCTTAATTATATTATGTCATTTTTGAATCTGAGATTTAAAAATCTAGTATTTATATCAGAAGAAAAAATTCAACAAATTATTGAAAAACTAAAGAAAAATATTATAGAAAATATACCAACTATTTTTGAATCCTCTAATAATTCAGCTCAGATTTCTTATTTGCAAGATCAATCTCTTATATCATTATTTTATGATAATTTCAACACTATAATAATTACTACTGAAACACCTATTGAATTAGAACTTTGTATTTATTAGAACATGCCAATATTATCAAAATATGAAGTATCTCATCTATTATATGTAACAAATAATCCATATAAGTAGTGGAATGATCACAAGGCAACACTATTATTACTTGCCAAACAAGCAAGAATTTACCTTGCAATTCCAGCTTCTTCAGTTCCTGCTGAGCATCTTTTTAGTAATGCTAGTAATATATTAACAGATAAAAGAAATCAGCTTGATACTATAAATATATATGATATTCTTTTTCTTAAGGAAAATTTAGCTTTTATGAATGTATTTCTGGAATTATTGCAAGAAAAAAGCTAATGTTAATATGTATGTTAGATAATGATAATGCATGTATGTAATATTAATATATATTAATTCTGTAATATAAATAAAGTATCTAAATAAGAAAATTCACGTAATTATCAACTTGAGTCAGCTAGCTGAAGCAAAAAATTATGACTTAGTTGCGCTGATATTTTGTTATCAGCTTGAAATACTACATGTAATATATATATAGTTGTTACAAAAAGTAATGCTTAATTTGCATGTATAACAACATAGGTAAATATATGCATCACATTTTCCAATTTTTTGTTATTATTTTCTTCTTTTACTTTTAAACATACACTAGATGAAAATTTTTTAGATGTAAATATGATACCTGTCATACCAGTAGGTCATCTTTGACAAGGATAAAAATAGTGATTTTTATGAAATAATAAATGCCAAGCAAGTTGCAAGAAAATGTGATGGCACCTAGTAAGAGTATAATGATCTCTTGCCAAGTACAAAAAAAATAGAAAAAATAAAAATTTACTACTGTCTGAGAGACTATAAGCTCATAATGATCAAGAAAAAAATGCATATATACAAGAAACTAAAAAAGACATCCTGAGCCATTTCACAATATTGTAATAAAAAATCTGAGCAAAAACTTACCTGAAGATTCTTAAGGTAATTTGATTTCTTTTCATAATATAATTTGCTCATTGCAGTTTGCTTGGCGCTGATTTATTCTATTTGAATTTATTTCATTTTTTTCCCTAATGTAGATCAAGTTTTATTTTTTTTTGAAACATCATGTTCTCTTAAATTAAGAAAAATGGTTGTAACCTGAGGATAGTGTAATGGTCTCTTGCCAAGTACAAAAGAGACAGGAAAAACCAAAATTCATCACTGTCTGGGAGATCATAGACTTTTAAAAAAATGTACTATACAAGAAACAAAAAGACATCCTGAGCCATTTCACAACACTGATAATAAAAAATTTGTGCAAAAGCTTATCTAAAGATTCTCTAACGTAATTTGGTCCCTTTTCATAATATAATTTGTTTATTGATTTGAGAGAACATGATGTTACAATTGATCTACATTAGGGAAAGAAGCCGTGAATAGAATCAAATAAAGAAATCAATGAATATTGTGTTCTCATGACCTAAACTTCATAGAAATGTCTCCAAGTCATTGGGGAATAATATTCTAAAATGTATAAGCTTCCCAAGGATCGCGAAAAAGCTCAAGGCTACTCTGAAGGAAATTCGATGTGTTGGCTTTTTAGGAGGTTGTAGGCTCAATGTCTTGAGAAATCAAAGCGATATTAGAGCCATATGAAGAGCTAATAATTTATTAGCTATTGATAAAAAATATTTTATATTCATAAGACAGAAATAAAATAAATCCGAAATTTTATTTTTTAAAAAATCGGGCGTTACTTTTTGTAGCGACTGTACATGTAATTACATCATATACAGTACATGTACTATGGATTTTGGAAATTACCGAATTTTGTTATAAAAATATGTACATGCAGCAATTTTTTGTATTACAAGAGACGAATGCTACGTGAAAGATCTGGATTTTGGTAAAGGAAAGAGTGACGACTAATATCATAGTATTTATATTAGCTTTCTCCTTTCAAGCTAATTTCTTTTGAGATTTGCAGCATGTTTTTATGGATTTCCTGATTTTGATTAGCACATTAAAAAAAATAATGCTCGTAAAAAAGATTATATATCGCATTCTTTCAAGAACAAACTGAAGAATGGATTGGTGCTTATTTGTGTATAAGTTTTAATTAATCTTGTTATACTAGCAAAATGGGATTGGTGCTTTTTCATCATTATGGTAATCACATTATTCAACTTGATTTCTCAAAAATCAATATAAAAATCATTCACATTCAAGTATCAATTTTTTGTAAGGTAAGAATATATTTGATTTATACATGTAAATGTAAAACTCGACGTACATCGATATTGAATTCAAAGTTTATGCCAAAAGCATACCAACTATACATGCTAAAATGTATACCATCTTAAATGTATCATCAGCTACGAAAGACCAATAAATCGATGCTCCTGCTGAAGAAGTAGATGGCAAAGTAGTATCGGTTGCTTTATTATTTGCTGACGAATTACTGACGGTGTGTGTAGGCTGTGTACCAGTAGGTTGAGGTGAATTAGATAGGGATTTTGGCGAAGTTGTTGGTTTGTTTGTCAGTGAATTCGTTGGTTTGGTTTTTGTTTTTGACAGTGAATTCGTTGGTCTGGTTTTTGTTTTTGACAGTGAATTAGTTGGTGGTAAGTATGTCGTTTTTGGCAGTGAATTCGTTGGTGGTTGACTTGTCGCTTCTGGCGGTGGATTCGTTGCTGGTATGTTTCTAAGAATAATTACAGAATGCATATTATTTCTAATGAAACCGAAAATATAGATTATGATAAATAGATAATTACGTTGATGCTGGCAAAGCATTCACCATGAACATGGTGGTGGATTGTAACAGAACAAAAAAGAGAAATAAATATTTATATTCCATTATTTTTCTTAATTCGTTTACAAGTTCTGTGAAGAGAACAGAAAGTATGGATTCAAAATCTCGGAATGATTTGGTGTATTTATAAGAAACATTTTATACGTACGTGTACATTAAGGTTCTTAACAGAAGAGAAGTCAAACCAAACATATTGATGATTGCTCGTTATGTGCTACTTTTATGCTTTATATTTAGAAATACCTGTATTTAAACTCAAATTTAAAAGACGACGGATAAGGAATTATTGTCATTTTCTAGTGTACTTGACAAGTTAACACGAATTCCTTCTAGAAATTCAAACACATAATAACAAAATGGAATGAGTACTTTGAAGGGAGAATGTGTATCAAATGAAGATCCATTTGATCAATTATATTTTTAATTCACGCTATTGGTGTCACAAAGCTCTTTGTTAGATTTACTTTTTGAAAGGTTAGTAATACATGCACAGTATATCACAGAATCAAAAATTGCTTGCACAAGTCAAAAATGATTTGCTACGCACCAACAAAAATATCTGAATAACGAATTAAATGCAACGCTAATTGTGGTGAGACTGTGCGTTTAATTTTTATTAGTACCGTTAGTCTAAACCTCCAGAAAATATAATATGATCCGTCGTATACAATACGAATCGACAAGTTGATACTGGATCCACTTAACGAGCAAAATTACTGTACATTACTGCATGTATTTTTGCCGCCGTAACGAGAAATTCCGTGATTATGAAAATCCTGGAATAATGTTAATCTTGTATCCCTCATTAGTATTATGACACGAAAACTTAAAAATAATTACATGTACTTGTACATGTACATATATTCATATTATCCATTATCAACCTGAACAAAATCCTGAGAATCCATACAAAAATTCTTACCTTGTACTTGTAATATCAACAATGATGCCATTTCGCAAAATTCTTGTAATATCAATATTAACACTGCTTTACCAAATAATAAAAATTTTTTACAAAATTCTTTGCGATCCCAATCATTAAAAAAGATTCGCATCATATGATCCATAGAAATAATGCCATTTTTTCTTACAAAAATTTCACATTTCGTATAGTCATAATAATTTTATTTGAATTTCAGGCCTATTGTCTATATAAGGTAAAACAGATATTATGTCGCAGTACGATTTCTCAATACTTAGTTATCGGAAGTCACACGGAATCGAATGCTGTATTTTCACATAATTTTGTTCACTAGGTATCGCTGAAATTCAATCGTATGTTAGTTCATTGCCAATTTGTGGTGCATGAAGATTTTTAAATCCATGAGCTAGCGATCAAAACCACGTGAAATTACAACATTTGATTTGTCTAGTAATGATGAATCGAATGTGATCCTTTGCATCAGATTATTATTATTATGTTTATTTAATCTATTGAATTTTAAAGATGGATAGAACTAACATATTGTGAATTATTAGACTAAACTTTCTTGTAAAAAGAGTCTCTTTAACCGAATGTTTAAAGGCATTGTACCAGAAACTGCAGTTATTATTGATATTAGAACAAATATTTAATTGATGCTTAATAATTGACTTCCATTTTTATAATAGATTTAAGATCTTCTATAAAGTATGTGACTTGTTCTAAATTATTCATGCTTATGATTTGTTTAACTATATTTCTGAATTTAGTATTATAGTCTTGTGCAGATTCAGTTTGATAAAAAAAATATATAATTGATGATGATGATGTTATTGATAATGTGATGGCTGGAAACCATTTCTAAGAGCAGTTATAAAGTTATTTCAGATATTATATAGCATATCATTCAGACTTTTATATTTATTAAACTATCAATAAAGAGTAATATTGATTAATAAGATAATGTGATCTTGAGCTGTGAAGATAATTTTGGCCAGATAAGAATGTTTTTATTTGATTCTACAAAGTAGATAGACAGTTTAATAAAAAGATGAGATAAGAACTTGGAATCAGTAGAACTTTTTTCTTTTGTAATTTTAATAAGTTTTCATAAACTTTTTGAATTATTCTGAATTTTTCTTGCCATAATTTCAAAATAAAACTAAATTATATATAAAAGTATATTATAATATGAGTATAAAATATAATGAGTAATATTATAATAACTGTATCTGCTATTATTAAGTTGTAAAATTATTTATTTATGATTGTAGAGTATTCGATTCCATCTTTCAATTCAATACATGTAAAATGCGAATTGCTAATAAAAACGAGATAATCATTGCATGTAGTCAGATTGTGATTTTACATGTAACTTGAATTGTGATACTAAATTTAGCGTTAGAGTTTCTGTTAAACCAACCGAACGAACTGAACATTAAAATTTAACCCATAAATATACTACAATGAAGACCGACTTCTTATTAACTTCACACTCTAATAAATTGGCAATGTTTTATGAAAATGCCAAATATTTGCGACATTTCGATCATTGTTGGAGATATTCAAAATACTGAGCGAATTTTTACTGCACATTTATCAATACTAGTGGCGCATTCGGAATATTTTGCTATTGCTCTTTCGATGCGTGGGTAACACGAGAACCTAACAAACTGATTATCTCTAAGAAACCAAATATTGAGCCGCGTATTTTTGAAAGCTTATTAAGGTAATCTTTAATAATAGTGTTTTAAATTTATCAAACTGCAATAAATTGACGATTAAGTTACATGTATTTTGCAACACAAATATCTCACCATCCAGTTCGATGAATCAAATAATAACATTAACCTATGAATTGAATCACTAAACACCATCAAGATATTCTATTTGCAAAGTGATCAATAATGATTTCTATCTTCCAATAAATTTATTGAAAAATTGATAGCAACGTAAAACTCGATTTTGGCATAATAAAGTTCAATAAAAATTATATTTTATTACCAGGATTAGGACTAGTAATATATTTTGAATAAAAAAAATTAGTTTTGAGTAATTTAGAAGGGGTGACCATTGCAAGTAATGAGAAATTTGTGGGACTATTAGAGGCGTCTAGATCAAATAAGTGAGAATTATTAGAAATATGTACGGGAAAAATAATGACACAAGGTGAAAATTTGGTATGAAATTTTTTAAGTGCCACGGGATGTGCATTTAACAATAATAATAATGTTAGAAACACGAGATATGAATCCAATAAAACTCGTATATTATTCAAGAACTTCGGGTATTAGGATATTTTTCGTTGCGACAGCAACAATAGCATTTATTTTAAAAGAACTGATCTCGTGTTTAGAAAGAAGATCTAGTTAATTATAGTTTTTAGTTTTGTAGTTAGTAGAATTCTTACACTTGTATCTGTGACCACAAATAATGCGTGCGTTCGTAATAGCTTTATTTTGCAAATGTGTAGTAAATCGAAAAATCACCTTGTAAATAATGCGAGAATCTCACGTTAAAGTATCGAAATCGCTTAGCCTATTTTTTAATACATGTAAAACACTGATTTGCTTTTAAAGTACATGTAATGGATTCACGTTTATCTTTGCATTCTTTGCATAACCAAAACTTAACTGCTGCATTAGAGATAAATTACTTGCATTATCTATACAAAGTATCTCATACATTGTTACGATAAGAAACTACATGTATATCCAACCAAACAACAAATATGCATGGAAATTCTTATTAAAGCAATGCAATGCAAATTTTTATTTTTTTCGAGTTGCAAATGCGTTGTACTGCAAAGTTACTTTTAATAAAATGTTAAATGCACCAGTAGATCCATCGCGTTGAAAAAAGTGACGTAATGCATCCCAAAAATTTGGAATTAACCTTTTTACCTTTCGGTTGGGAACTGATTTCCTGTTTTCTGATCACTGCAGTGACTGGTACTACTGTTGACCTTCATTATGAAATCGATAACGAGAGTTTTTGTTCTGCTTCATGAATGAATTGCTGCAATTTAAAGTTTCGACCAAAGATGATGCTGTCCAGCTTGTTCTCAACCTCAAAATATCTATCTTCAGTATTGTTACTCAAAAACGATGATTTCTTATTGTATAAATAAAACGATGTCAATAGCTCTCTGCTCCCCTCAAAAAAAGGAAAAAAATTAAATGAATAAAAATAACGAATATTTAACAGAGACAGAACGTAAAGTTTTAAATTATCCTCCTTATGATCTAACTCTCACAATTGAAGAATTAACAATGCCTGCAAAGAAAAAACGCGATAATCCTTCACGACCCCAAAACAGCTGGATCATATTTCGGAAAGATTACGAAGCTAATTTACGTCTACGTAGTCTTGATATCAAACAAGAAGTTAAGCATACTGCAAAGGAGTGCAGTTTAAAATGGCAATCGCAACCACGTGAAGTCAAGACTTTTTTCAAAATATTGGAGAAAATAGCTTACGAGAATCATAAGCGTATATATCCTCATTATAAGTATAAACCAAAAAATGCAAAGGATTTAAACGAGAAAAAATTTACTTTCCGAAAACAGCGTAAATACCCATTTACTTCCTCGACCAAGACTAGCACAATAAGTGACAGCACAATGTAACGCGTCGCCCTCTTTAACAAACAATGTGACTGAAAATTTGACTAATTTCACATCATTGACAGCAACTCAATATAACTCTTTTACCCAATAATCATCTTCCAGACGCTACTTTATGTCCTATCACTGACAAGGATGCTGCATTGATCGAAAGTTTTAACGTCCCTACAATCTCATCGATTGTTCTATTAACTGACGCTCATGGATATCTTAATTACGATTTTGCCTTTAGTTCTGGAGATATAGGTTTTTCGCGTAAAATTAATATGCATTAAAACAAATATTCGTACATTTAAGTTCGTTTGATATTTCTATTTTAAGCTCAAATAACCCGTGTGCTTTTTTTTACAAAAACTTTCTAGTTTATTCGATTTCTAAATGCTAAGTACAATTAATAGAGTATAAACACCAAAGAAATATATTTCTAAAATATCTATGATTCTTTCTTTCATGCTTTATTTTATTCGTTCTCCTCGTTTTGTCTGTTCGTTCATCGATTAACTCGTTCGTTCAATATTTAGTTTATTCGATTTTTTCATTAATATTAAGATAAATTCAGATAACATCTATATTCCTTCTTATTGCTGTTCATTATTTTAATGTAAAATATAGTAAAAGGAATCGTATTTACGTTGAAATCAAGTGTTTAATCAACAATTATTCAAATTATCTAAAATATATTCATACCGATGCCAAGTCTTGCACAGTGTACACTCCCCGGTCAAAAGTCTCCGACCACCTGATTTAAGATTACAGATCATTACCTTTTAAAATGAGATTACGC